TTCTGGCTTAAAAACTATTGCTTCAAACGAAATGTTATCATTCACTGGTAAATGGATGGAATTGGAGAACATCATTCTGAGTGAGGTTAGCCTGGCCCAAAAGACCAAAAATCATATGTTCTCCCTCATATGTGGACATTAGATCAAGGGCAAACACAACAAGGGGATTGGACTTTGAGCACATGATAAAAGCGAGAGCACACAAGGAAGGGGTGAGGTTTTGTAAGACACCTAAAAGTTAGCTAGCATTTGTTGCCCTTAACGCAGAGAAACTAAAGCAGATACCTTAAAAGCAACTGAGGCCAATAGGAAAAGGGGACCAGGAACTAGAGAATAGGTTAGATCAAAAAGAATTAACCTAGAAGGTGACACACATGCACAGGAAATTAATGTGGGTCAACTCCCTGTATAGCTATCCTTATCTCAACCAGCAAAAACCCTTGTTCCTTCCTATTATTGCTTATACTCTCTCTTCAACAAAATTAGAAATAAGGACAAAATAGTTTCTGCCGGGTATTGAGGGGGTAGGGGGGAGAGGGAGGGGGCGGATTGCGTGGTAAGGAAGGGGGTGGGGGCAGGGGGGAGAAATGACCCAAGCCTTGTATGCACACATGAATAATAAAACAATAAAAAAAAAAGAATTAATTTAGAAGGTAACACACATGTACAGGAAAGCAATGCATGTCAACTCCCTGTATAGCTATCCTTATCTCAACTAGCAAAAACCCTTGTTCCTTCCTATTACTGCTTATACTCTCTCTTCAACAAAATTAGAGATAAGGGCAAAATAGTTTCTGCCTGGTAGCAAGGGGGTTATGGGGGTAAGGGAGGGGGGGAAGGGGGGGAGAAATGACCCAAACATTGTATGCACATATGAATAAAATTAAAAATAAATAAATAAGTAAAAATAAAGAATCATACTTAAGAAAAAAAAAAACTATTGCTTCAGTTGATGTCAACAGTTGGATAACTCATATTCCTTAACACAGATTTCTTATGATTCTTAATTCCCACCATGTTTGTGAAAAGTCCATATTTGAAAGTTGCTTGGGTCACAATTAATAGCAGTGGTTTGTGTGGCAGTTCTCTGTCTCTATGGATTTGTCTATAATGGAAATTTCATATAAATGGAATCATATAATATATGGCCTTTTGTGTATAACTTCATTCACTTATAATTTTGAACAGATCTCTGACACACTTTTTTATTTGTTTGTTTGTGGTGCTGAGGATCAAATCCAGAACCTCACACATGCTAAGCAAGCTCTCTACCGCTAAGCTACATCCCCAACCAAACACTTATTTTGCTGTGTGGTGATTATTTTTTTACCGGCCTGCCTCCCATTGGACTATTAAGTACCACAAGGACAGTAACTATACCCTTATCATTTCAAAATTTTAAGCACAAAGCTCAGGGTCAGTCAGAGCAGCCACTCATCAAATGTTTGCTGAACAAGTGATGCTTTCTCACCTCCAGCTAATCTGGTTAACTGGTATTTGCTGTGCCTCCACATGCACTCATATACTTGACAAAATGAAAAGCTCTTTATTGGATCTAGATTAACAGGAAGATCCTTGTGGCGTGAAATAGCTTGCGCTGGGAAATGTAAACATTTTCCTCCTTTGGGCTGCTGCAGACTTGCAGGACTGATCAGAACTATAACTACTTTATATCATTTGTGAGGTTGTATTTCAACTGTATCTATTAACTTAGAAGTTACTAAGGACTTTTTGTAAATAGATTTACATAGATATATAATTAATATATATTTGGGGATTATATGTATATTATATTTTCCTGAGTATAAGAAAATCATACTTGGCTAAATCTATATTATTTATTGATTTATATCTCAAGCTGTAATTCCAAGTGGATCAGCATTGGGCTATTCAGAGCACAATGGGGCAGGAGGAAAACATAAGAGACTATCTATCCAGGAAAGAATGCCAGTTAATTATTATAGATCCCCTTTGAGGTTCTAGGATATTTCTCTTAGGCCTCAGGGACCACAGATGACCTGAAGTTGGCCGAGAGAGCTTCTCTGCAATCAGAGAATCTTGCCAGGTTAGACTTGTCTGAGTCTAAGACAACCATTTGCATGGGTTTGAGCTCAGACTCTGTGAGATACACAATCTAGACAAGAATTCTATTCCCCTCTTTCCCTGAACATGTAGTTCCTTCTGCTTGGAATGTTTCACTCTCCTCATTCAGATGAGTTCTGATATCTTTAAAGTTGAGTCTAAAGTTTATGCCCTGTCTTCCTTAAGTGGATTTATTTTTTTTTTATCTCCTGTGTCTCTATCAGGACTTATTTTGGATTTTCATAGCAATTCTATCCTTCCAAGAAATTTTGGAGGTTTAAAAAATCATACATATAGCATGCTAGTTCAAAATTTGCTCCCTTTCTGCAAATGGTGGCTGCTTATAAATGTAGGCATATTTATGTCCATATTTTTTCCTCTGTGTTTGTGTATACATTCTTTTTATCAAGGTGGAATCACTTATAGTTTCACTTATAGTTCTTGTTGAAACTTGCTTTTTTCTCTTAATAAACTATGGACATTCACACTTGTTAGCTTGTACAGATCTACCTCACCCTTTACTTTATCTGGATGCACCATTATTTATTTAAATATTAGTAGGCATTTTTGTTAGGTTGTTTATTTGAGATCTTTGTAAATATATGTATTTATTGCTATAAGCTTTTCTCTTAATTCTGCTTTATGGCACCCCATAAATTCTGGTACATTTGTATTTGCATTTGTCTTGAGATATTTTCTAACTTCCCTTTTGATTTCTTCCTTGACTTAAAAAAGTTGTTCAAGAGTATGTTGCTTAATTTCCATGTATTAAGTTTTTCTGTTTTCCTTTTATTAATTTATAGTTTTCTTCCATTGTGGAAGATACTTGGAATGATTTTAATCTTCTTAAATTTAAGTCTTGTTTTGTGACCTGGCGTATAATACATCGTGAAGAATGTTCTTTGTGAGTTTGAGAAGAATATGTATTGTGCTGCAGTTGGGTGGAATGTTCTATGTATTACTGTTAGCTACATTTGGTCTATAGTGTTTGTGAGGTCTGCTGTTTCCTTATTGAGTTTATGTGTGGATAATCTGGCCATTTGTGAAAGTGGAGTATGGAAGTCTCCTACTACTATTGTATTGTGTCTGTTTTTCTCTTCATATCTATTGGTTTGATTTGTATATTTATGCACATTTGATGTGTATATTTATTATATTGGTACATACATGTTTATAACTGTTATTTATTCCTGTTGAATTGAATATTTGATGATATTCTTTGTTGTAACAGGCTTTTTACATTTTCTTACTTACTTTGATAGACATTTAGGTTGTTTTAAATGTTTTGCGATAGAGCAAGCTATGTGCCTGTCCTGATGACTTGTACAAATCTATTTGAAAGATAGAATTCCAGAAGTATAATTACATGAACCAATGGGGTTATATCCTAAGCATTTAGCTCCAAATATGTTTCCTCTACTATAGTCTTTTGAGGATAGAGACATTGTTTTATTTATTTTCATGTCCCCCAGGGACTAACATTGTGCCTAAAACATTTTAACTGCTTAATAAATGCTTGTTGAATAATTAAATGAATAAGTGAATGAATGAATGAATGAATAGTAACAGAAAGTTTTGATACCTACAAAGTGAATCATATGGACAGTTTAATTTTCATAGTCAGTTGCTTTTCTTCTCCAAAGCTTTGAGTAGGCCTGATCCTTCCATGTGGGTAATACACAGATACAGAGATCCTCCCCTATCCCAAGTGCAAGTATTTCTACTGCTTAGACACTATAGAGACTCGAACTGCTTCATTAACCCCATGACCCCACTCCCCTACCCCCAATTCAGTAGCTAACTTGCATCTTGTTATGAGGCTGTCACCTGCAGCCACTGTTGACTGATTCTTACTTCATTTGTATTTACTGCCCAATTGGTAGAATGGGAACATAGGAGAATACTGTGTTGTGCATCATGTAGGAATTTGCAGAGACATATTTTTGAATGGGGAAATGCATTTGTTTTCATATTTGTGCATCTATACAATATAACCTCCTTTGAACTTCACCTCCTGCTTCAAAATTACTTCATCTTGTGTATCACTACAAGATGGATATTCCTGAACCCTTTCCCTTTCTCAAACATTTAGTGGCTCCCTTTTCATAAAAGCTAAGCCTCCTTAGACTAACATTGAGGCATCTGTGGTATGACTTCAGAATCTTTTGAATCTCCCATTACTCACCTTCCTAGTTACTCAACTCAGAAACTGTGGTCTATTTTTTCTATACCCTAAAGCCTTGTGCTTTCCATCTCAGAATTTGTGTGTGTGTGTGTGTGTGTGTGTGTGTGTGTGTGTGTGTGTGTCAGGGTCTCACAACCCAGGCTGGCCTCAAACTCAAACTCGCCATTCTCTTGGATTATAGGCATGCCCTACCATATTTGGCCAATGCATTTTGTTTGTGATGATGGGAATCAAACCCAGGGCTGTATGCATGTTAAGCAAGTGCTCTACAACTAAGCATATGGCCATCTCAGAACTCTTGAACAAACATTCCCTTAATCTACCCAAGTCCTCCAATTTTTAGTCAAGTTCTTCACTGCTGGGAAATTTTTAAACCTTGTCCAAGGTTTCAAAATGAACTGCATCAGACACCATCTACCTCACTTTTCATTTTTCATCACGTCAGTCTGAAACTACACTAGTATCACTGACAGCTTTTTTTAAATCTCTTTCACTTGTTTTGCCCTTTTGCCTTTTTGCCTAAATCTACATTCTATCTCTGACAAGCACAATTTAAATTCCAGAAGGTAGAGTCATGTCCTACACCAGGTCTGCATTCACAAAGCCCTCAGTAAATGTTTGCCCCTTGATTGAGTGGATTAGCAGTCTGTTTCTCTGAAATCTTTACGATAAGAACCATGATAGTGTTCTATAAACTATAAGATTTAATATTTTCTTTCTCTTCTTCTTTTAGCCATACTTCCCATTGCTTCCAGCTGTTGCACTGAAGTTTCACATCATATTTCCAGAAGGCTTCTGGAAAGAGTGAATGTATGTCGTATCCAGAGAGCTGATGGGGATTGTGACTTGGCTGCTGTCATGTGAGTTCTCTTCAGCAGGGATGAAACTATACACTGATTATTTCCCTGGTTGAAAGATATTGCCTGATACACAACCTACAAATCACCCAAAACAAGGGAAGGAAGATAAACTGTTCTGTCCTTTGAGCCCCAGGCTCCTTGCAGTAAATGCACAACCTCTCTGTTCAAGGATGTCTGGAAACCCTACAACAAAGAGCCCTCCAGCTCCCCCCCTGCTGCGATACTGCGTTGGGGCTGCCAAGAAGAGTTGAAAAGTGCAGAGCAGTTACGACTTGATCTCAAATAAAATTATACTTGACTTTATTGTAGTTAAAAAAAAAACCAAAAAACAGGGCCGTAGGAATTAGGCAAAAATGGGCTTTTTCAGGTCCAGCCCCCTGCAGGAAATACCATGCTGGGAGTGAAAGTGGCCACTCCAAAAGCCCTGGCCCCTCATGCCAGAAGAAAGACTTAGCTTCCAGTTCTGGTTACTGGTGTACACCGTGACATCTACATATACATATGCCCTTGCTTTTGTTTCATCTTTTCTATAAGTTCTGACACTGCTATGGGCAAGGTAGAGACAGATTGAGAATCTCTCTACCCAGTTTAGGCCAAAACTATAAGTAAATTCATTTTCCATATATATTTGATTATACATAAAGACTTTAATGTTTGAAACAAGTGTTTAGGAGGAAGAAGACAAGCTGGGCTCTCGTGGCTCACTTCTGTAATCCTAGCTACTCAGGAGGCAGAGATCAGGAGGATTGCAGTTGGAAGGCAGCCTAGGCAAATAGTTACAGAGACCCTGTCTCAAAAAACCCCATCTCGCTGGTGGAGTGGCTCAAGCAGTAAAAAACCCCATCGTACACAAAAAAGGGGAACTGATGGAGTGGTTCAAGTGGTAAGAGTACTTGCCTTGCAAGCATGAAGCCCTGAGTTCAAACCCCAGTGTTGCCAAAACAAGGCCGAAGACATTGCTCATATTCAAAATATAATTCTCAAGTAGCAAGTATAATAAATCATAATTATTATTATTATTATTTTGTTAGTACGGGGGTTTGAACTCAGGGTCTCGCACTTGCTAGGCAGGTGCTCTACCTCTTAGTCACAACCCCAACCCCACAATTATTAATATAAATTAACTTACATTGAACTCATTGGTTTTTTTTTTCTTTTCTTTTTTGCCTGGAAATAGATCCTTTGTTTCTGACCCTATAAATGATCATTGTAATTTTCCATATCTGAGACAGCAGATTGCTTGTTTAAACTCCTTTTCAGTGACTTCATTAAAGAGCTTCTGGCTGTTCCTAAACATAAATACAATGCAAAGTTGTATTTATTTGTATTCTTTGGCAGAAGGTTGAAGTTTCTTGAATCACACAAGGGTTATCTGTTGGAAAGTAAATTGGGGGTTATTAAATAAAGTTGTCTAGGAGCTTGAGTTTTTTAGAAGAGGTTGTAGTGCCCATTGTGTTTAGAGATAAGGGTAAAGAAATAAAGTTTAGGCAACAGTCCTGTATCTCCACAGCAGGGCCACTTTTTATATCATTGGATTGTTTCTAGTTACGCTTTTGTGGGTAAAAGAATCACAGAATCTGCATGGTTTCTTAGAGTCAAACTTCCTTAGAAATTCATAATGAGGTGGGTTGGTGCCTATCAGGAAGCTATGGAGTTGAGAGTAAGAGAGGGAGTGTGGAAAACACTACTTCCTTTTCCCAAAATTTTCATCCTGATGGAATACACATGGGGTATAAATAAGAGTTTCAAGATGTTTTATACTTTAGGATTCTAAGCACCATCATAGAATTACACTGAAAGATTGAGGCCTTCCTTATCACACAGTCCTCAGAAAAGCCTATTTTCCTATGGCCCTCTACCTCTCTGCATCCTCTGTCTGTATGGCCACCCTTCCATCCCAATGCCCTTCCCCGAAGCTCCTCACTACTATCATTTTAATCAAATTCTTGAATCCTAGTCTTTCCTGTGTAATTACAGGCTTATATGCATGTGCATGTCAGTGAAGACTGTACTTGAGTTCTTGCTGACACTACGGAGAGATTCCTTTGGAAATGTAGGAGCTCCAACTAATTTTTTTGTTTTTTTCTCTATAGCAGTGCTATAGCAAGGTTTTCTCCTATAACAGCAAACCAACTGGAATTAGAACCAGCTTTTCTTTTGAAGTCATCTCAATCAAATGCAATTAGGGAATGGATTGTCCTCTTATTAAGAAGCCCAGTTCTTTCAAATTAATATTCTCCCATGGACTGGCTTTACAATGCTAAAGTCCATTTACACTTTTCTCCATGCTCTCATCATTCTGTGTCCCCATATCATCTGATAATGATTCCACTTGGGTCATCTGGAGAGGTGGCAGCCTATTCTCTGTCCTTTCCCACCCTCATTGCCCCCCTGAATAATAGGACCAGGAGTTCAACTTATCAGGACACAGTAGTATTATATATGTAGAGCCAGGATTGTAACCTTTCATCAGAGTTGGCTGGCACCTGATAGAGAATTAAAAGTCATGCTGTCTTTTGTAACAAATTCTTCAAGTTGCCAGAAATTGTGAATGCTGCCCTAGGGTTCTTCTATTCCAGTGTCAAAACTTCATATAGAAAAATGAAAATAAGGCTGTGTGGTGGTATGAGCCAGTGGAAGGGGGAAGGTAAAGGGAAAGGGTGAATGGGGGAGTGAATATGTTCACAGTACTTCATATACACTATGAAAATAGAGTAAGGAAACCATTAAATTATTTAAAAATGAGAAGAAAGAGTAATGGTGGGGTGATCAGAGTACATTATATGTATGTATGAATATTTCACAATGAAACCCTGTTGTACAATTAATATATACTAATAAAGAGAGAAAATGAATATGCATGTGTAGTTTAGGACAAAAAATGAAAATAAATTCTGAGCTGTGGTATAGCTCTGTATGACATTGAACAGATGCTCAAAATATTTCAGTGGATTGTTTTGTTGAACAATTTTCACTTTATGTCTGCAATGAATTACAGAGTTTCTACTGTGAATAAGGCCTTTTCAAAAATATGTCTAGAGGACTGAAGGTGTGGCTCAAGTGGTAGAGTGCCTGCCTACCAAGCATGAAGCCCTGCATTCAAGCACAAGTACTGCCAAAAAATTTATTAAAAATGCATGTAGACCATTCCTCCCTCAAGGAACATTACTTCAGTAGGAGAGATGAGGCAAGTACCCATCTTATAAACTTAGTCCCAGAGAGAGGTAACCCTCACCATGGAAATTCAAAGGGGAAAAATGTTTTGATGAGAGAATCCAAAGATCCAGGGAAAGATGTATCTGACATGGGTGAGGAGAATGAGTTGGTTTGGTTGGGTGAAACTTGGACAGGAAAGATAATTGTTTTCTCTTGGTTTTTATTATTTCTCTTCTCCTTTTCCTTCTGTTCCTGCACCTTTTCTTCTCCTCTTCCTCCTTCTTCTTCTCTTCCTCCTCTTTATTATTTCCTTTTCTTCATCCTATCCATCTAATTCCTTCCTTTTATCCTTTTCCTTTTAATACTCTGTGGATGCCTGAGGGCTACAGACAGCAATGTGTGTAAAATCAAGATTGGTCTTCCTGGTGCCAGTTTTAGGATTCAGTCTCTAAGAATACAGTGTCTAAAAGGGGGGGTTGCTGTAAATCACTCATTTTGTTTTTGTATTTTCTATCAGTGATTTTTTTCCCCCTTTCTTGGCAGACTTCATGTCAGGCGCAGAAAAATCTGTGTCAGCCCACACAATCATACCATTAAGCAGTGGATGAAAGCACAAGCAGCCAAGAAAAATGGTGAAGACATTTGCCTTAAGAAGAAACACCATGGCAAGAACAGAAAAGGGGCCCATCAGGAGAAAATATGAAACATATGGCCCCAAAACTCCTTATTAGAGTTTACAGATGAGTCTGCAAAGATGACACTTCAAGTGAACTTGACCATGGTTGGTTATTAATTTATCATCCAATTTTTCCTTATTGGCAGGCAGCAGTGATTTTTAAAAAATGAACAATTGCATAGAATGCAAACGTAGGCAATAATATACTCAACAAAAAATGAAATGAAAGTTTAATACTTGTCTTTCTACAATATTTTAAGAGGAGACTATGGATATAATTTCTCTAACTTTTTATTATGAAGGTTTCTGTTCCTACAGGGAAATTAAATGAAAAATACAAGATATACTTGTGTACCATCACCTGGATTAATCATTGTTAATATTTTCCCTATTTCTTTCTCTCTCTTGTCTTTTTGTATGTGTATATATGAAACATTATAAGACATATACATATATATATATATATATACACACATGCATATATATATATATATATAGAACTTTTTCACTAAAAGTTGCAAACATTACAACATTTGTCTTACTCTGTTTTCTGTTACTATAGCAAAATTACCGAGGCTAGGTAATTTATAAAGGATATGTTTATTTGGATCATAGTTCTAGAGGTTGGGAAGTCCAAGAGCATGATCTGTTTGGCATGTGATGAGGACCTTCTTTCTGTATCACAACATGATAGAGGTCATCATCTAGCAGCACAGAGTGAGCTTAACTCAGGTTGCTCTCTCTTTTCTTATAAAGCCACTAATGCCATCATGGAAACATCAACCTCATACCTCACTTCACCCTAATTATCTCCCAAAGGACGCATCCCCAAATACCAGCATATGAATTTGAGGATTAAGTTTTCAACACATAAACTTTTGGGGGACACATTCAAACCACAGCAATACTTCAAACCAATTTCTTTTTAGTGTTGTAACTTGGTATCCCCCAAGACATTTTCTTACATAATCACATTAGCAGTTTTATACCTAAAACATTAGCAATTTCATTTTGTCCATATTCAAATTTCCTTAACTCTTTCCAGATCATTTTATAGTTTTTAATACAGAAATTACTCCAGGTTCACATATTGCAATTAATTATTTTGTTTCTTTAGAATCTTTTAATCTAAGACTACCTCTCAGCTTTCCTTCTTTCCTTCCTTCCTTCCTTCCTTCCCTTTTTAAAAAGAGTATAGGCCAGAATGTTTCACATTCCAGATTTGTTTGTTTCCTCATGATCAGGTCCAGGTTTTTCCACTTCTGAGTTCCTACGTGATTTTTAATACTTCTTGTGTCATTTAGAGTTCATGAACATTAGAGTTTATTTTCTAAATAGAAAAGTATAAGCAGAATAACACTTTAAAGCATCTAGTTTGAGTAGCTGTTGTTTTGACTGATAAATTCAGATGCTGAAAAAAAAAATCTGCCTCATTCCCCAGAAGGAGTTAGGATAGTTAGTTCAGAGAGTTAGGAATCTAGAGTTCAGTCCTGTGTGGGATGATTTTACATTCTCCTGAAATAAGAAGTCTACATTTGTAAACTCCTGACTTACCTTTCTCACACTTCTGAGTTTATTTCTATTGTGCTGCTTCTTTGGCCCCCTTTTGTTCACAGAAGCTTAGAGATTATAGTAAGAAATCAGTTGTTATAAATAGCCATTAGAGAACAGAAGTCATTTTATCAAGTGTCTGGTGTCCTGGACCTCCTGCTGGCCAGTCCCAGGCAGTGGTACTGCCAGCACAACTTGGAGGTGAAAATGGGACTCAGAAGTGCTTAGCCTTATGTCAGTTAAAATATCACCAAACTAATACTTTTCGTCAACCATAATGCAGACTGTGATTTTTTACTCTTACCAGTAATCCTCCAGCTTTGTCTTGATATTTCTAATTTATGGATGAGGAGACTCATATGAGGTCAAACAACTTGCCCATGATCACATAGGAAATGGCAGAGACAAGGCATATACTCAGATGGCCCAACTCTTCCTAGTTCTCTTACCAGCCCCATCAGTGGACTGAGAAGGTACAGATGTGGAGGTAGACAGGGAGGGACTGTCAGAAAGAAAGCTGTGATTCCATCTGTCAAAATTCTAGCATTTAAACATGCTGCTCCTTGGCACTAGTGGCACTGATATTGCCAAAACCATCTTTGAAGATGAAAACAGGCCCCAACCTGATTTAATGGTGCTTCACATGTTTAGGCAATGTAGGAAATTGCACACTATCTATAATCTTTGGTTTGCAAAATCTTCCTCACGGGTTCTTCTTTTGAACTTATCAACAGATTTTTTTCAAAACATACAGCATTCTTCCGTTCAACTACATCATGCTTTTGATAAGATAATATGATAATCCTCCAATTCTGAGGAAAGAAGTTCTTAAGTGTTCCTTTTTAATATTCCATTATTATCATCAAACTACACGTTCTAAAAGCTGAAGAAAACTTAAATTTAAAAATTTAATAAAATATAGTATGAGAGTAACTTAAAGTAAGTCACAAGGTTTAATTTAATCACAATATTAAGTAACATTAATGAGAAGTTAAAGTGAAAACAAAAACATTGGTCTCTAATTCTTTCAACCAGTATTTTGAATTATTTATATTTTGTTTCTCCTTTTAGTTCAGACTTGTTATTCTACACAGTTTGGAGGTAGCTATATATAACAGTAGTTAATAAGTTATGTTTTAAAAACTGATTTCTATGGTTTAGATAAGTGTCCCCAAAGTCCTATGTTTTGAAGGCCCTTGAAGGGGACATGGAAACACCTGCCTCTTCCTCTTTCTCTTTGCATTCCACCATCATTTGGTCATCAGCTTCCTCTACCATGAACCTCCACTGTGATATTCTGTCTTGCTACATGCCCAAAAGCAATTGGGCCAAATGACCATGGACTAAAACCTCCAAAACTGTGAGCTAAAATAAACTTTCCTCCTTTTAAGTTGATTTATCTCAGGTATTTGTTACAGCAACAGAAAGTTAATATAAGGTTTGATGGCAATGCAGATAACTAAAATATTGTTGAAGGATCATGTACTCAAGAGACCTGATTCTTAATTCCATATTATAGGCCACTACACATGCTTAGTAAAATATTGTTGTATACTGTTACTGTACTATGTACTCATATTGGACTGTGAGTAAATACTGTTACTTTATTATGAGTTACTGTATTATGAGTAAGTCATACAGGTTAATCCCCTAAATTTTCTTAAAAATAAAAACAAAACTGGTTATCTACAGGCAAAAAACTGAAACTAGACTCCTTTCTCTCACCCTGTACAAAAATCAACTCCAAATGGATCAAAAACCTTAATGTAAAACTTGAAACTGGTATAGGAAAATAGAGGGGAGACACCTGAAGATATGAGCACAGGTAATTATTTTCTGAATAGGACTCCAATTACCCAAGAAATAAGAAGAATTGACAAATGGAAGTGCATCAAATTAAAAAGTTTCTGCACATAAAAAGAAATAATTACCAAAATCAAGAGACAACCCACTGAATGGGAGGAAATCTTCACCAGCTATTCAATGAATAATAAATTAATACCCAAAATGTACAAAAAGCCAAAAACATTAAACAGCAAAAGAACAAACAGTCCAATTAATAAATGGTCAAACAAAGAGTTCTCAGAAGAAGAAATGCAAATGACTAATAAATACATTCTTAGCCATAAAGGAAATGCAAATCAAAACTACACTAAGATTTCATCTTACCCCAGCCAGATTGCCCATCATCAAGAAAACAAAAAACAACAAATGCTGGCAGGGATTTGAGGGAAAAGGTCCCCTTATACACTGTTGGTGGGAATGTAAACTAGTGAAACCACTAAGGAAACCAATATGGAGGTCCCTCAAAAAGCTAAAAAAGAGACCTGCATTTTGATTCTGTCATACGATTCTTGGGCATACATCCAAAGGAGTGTAAATCAATAACAGGAGAGAGACCTACACACTCATGTTTATTGCAGCTCTCTTCCCATAGCTAAAACTTGTTATCAGCTGATTGCCCAACAATCAATGAATGGATAAAGAAAATGTGATGTGATATTAAGTCACATTTTCTTTATTTATATATACCTATATGTATATCCATACATACATACATACCATGGAATATTACTCAGCCATAAAGAAAAATGAAATTATATCATTTATAGGAAAATGGGTGGAACTGGAAATCATTGTGTTGAATGAGATAAGCCAAGCTCAAAAACCCAAATATTGCATATTCTCATTCATTTGTGGAACTTAGACCTAAAATGATGATAATAATCATAATGGACATTATTATTGTATAAAATAATGTAACAGGGGACTGGGGGGATCAACAGAAGGGAGGGAGGAGGAAAGGATACTGAAGGGTGAAGAGGATCAAAGTACGTACATATATACGTATAATACATATATATTACATGTATATATATATGCGAAGAGAGCATAATGAAACCCACTATACACTGGAAAAGGAGTGAGGGTGAACTTGTTCAAAATACATTATATGCATGTATGGAATTATCAAAAAATTTCTACTCGTATCACCACTAAAAAAAGTTTCAGAAAATGCCACTTAAATTCTTGCATACCCTTTGACTTTGACCTAGTAATTTCACTTATGTGAATTTCTGCTATGAAATTCTAAAGAAACAACAGGTAAAAGGAATAGCTAAAACTTGAAAGCATAGACACCCAAAAACCAGGAGATTAAACAATGTGCAGTACAATGGAGCACCAGGTAATCACTAATTCTTTAATATGACACAAAATTCATAATATATTGTCAAGAGAAAGTAACTGGCTTCATTGTACATATACCCCTGTTCATATTTTTTAAAAGTTAATGAGTTTATACTTGAAGTTTGGTACTTCAAGTATAAGGAAAAAGACATGAAAGTACACCAAAATTTTACCAGTGGTTATTTCTATGTGTTAAATAGACAATTTTTACTTACCCTTACATCTATATTCTAAAAAATTTATAATTAAAATGTATCACTCAAATATTTCAGAAGTTATACAGATGGTGTACAATTTAGAATGAAGGATTTGGTTCAGACAAAAAATAGAAAAGATTACATTACCAGGCTGGGGATGTGGTTTATATGGTATAG